ACAATGTCTTTATTAGAATTGCCGGACGTTCAGCGAAAGTATATTGGCATACCCAGGGCCTAATACTGGATGTATATTGAATCGCTGGGCAAGCAACAAGTATCTGTCTGTCGGGATTAGACCTTGTGCTGATTATCATAATAAGCAACTGTCATGTGGGTCACGATGAAGCGTAACCACAAAAGGCGCTAGCATCGGATAGTATGGCCGTGCACCTTATCCATTTAGTTATGACCAAACGAGAACACCATTTTACCCTTCTAGTTCAAACTCAACGGTTTGCTACCCGTTCTGGTCTGGTTGTACCGAGTAACGCCAAGTATATTTCATGTTCAAGGGAGTTTGCGACTAAGACAAACTATTTCCTTTTCTCAGGATTCGAAGTCCACCCTTCTGCTACCGGCATCTATATCAAGTTATTGGACTTAAAGCACTTAAAATCGGACTGACTTCTGGAATGAAAGAACGATCACGATGCTGAGGTAAAAAAAACAAATTTTATAACATTTGCTCTCTAAGGGCTCTGAAGCACACAGCATTAAATTCAAAACGCGGCTGAGGCCAAGAATTATGCTAGAGATGTAAAGCCTATTCTAAATTTAGCAACATAGAATTACGTAAAAATTTGAAATTCGACAGGAATGCTGCATAACATATTTCGGAACGAAAATGACCGACAGCTGAAGTCGCTGTCCGTGACGCTTCTACGAAATTCAGGAACCGTATGAATATATGACTTCTTTACACGTGCCCTGTCGCTTTACAGGAATGCAACACTACCGATGTAGGATGTTAAATGTCTAAAGGTTATCTTACCGCAGAACTTATGTAGCACTAATACGTTCGTTCAGTAGTGATTTGGTGCGCTTGCTAGACTTTCATGCAAACTGTCTAAATAACTTGAACCTTTCAAGGGAGGTAATTGCAAACTGTTCTTCACATCAATTTTCCCTATTTATGTATATAGCGCCATAAATCTTTCCTTTTGGATGCTTGCGACTGCTTTTATAGCCAAACATAAGACAATTAGGTTTCTGTCAAGGCTAAGTGGCCTGGCACACCTATTCACGGAGTGAATTATATTACCCAGTGATTCCGTATTGGCGAAAAATTCTTAACGAATGCCTTCATCATCTGCACGCCTGTCTTTGACAGCACTGCTTGTTTGGTCGAACAAACGCTATTTGCGCCCATACACCACAGGTGCTAAAATACCACGGAGCCGTGGCCTGCTCAAATAGTCCACTAGGCTACTAGAAGCAAGGGGTCGGTGCGCCATGCCGTATCAGTGCGGAAAAATGACAGAAGAATGTTGTTAACAGCGGTATTAAAAACCATCAGTCTGCTAGTAAACCCACAATACCGGGGTTTACTTCTGATATGTTACTGCTTATCAGGATCAGTTTTTCTGGACTCCGTATGAAAAAATCGTAACGGCCACAAGAATCTTGCTTAAGTTTAGCCTCGACAAATTTTTTTCTAACGATAACAAATGTTTTGCGCCCTCTTCCTAAGCTTGGTTCTGTGAACGTTCTAACTGTGCATTTGGGAAGGTGGGGAAAATTTCGTCGAAAGGGCAATTTTCTTAAACAGCCGCTTACGAGTTCGGGCAGAAGCGCTTCACATCGGATCCATTTAATTCGACGAAAAAGTCTGCACGGATCGACGCTGCGTAGAAACGAACCGAAACCGGATTGGTAGAATTGCCGGCAATGGCAACCGACGTACTGTTCAGTTCGATGATGCCGTAGTCTTGACTGGACAACTGGAAGTCCATTTGCTCATGAGAAGCCTCGCTGAAACAAACGCTTCGTCGACACGGGCTGTCAGAGAAAAAAATTACAAAATGCAAACCATGGCTGGACGGAAAACTCGTCGAACGAATCGATTTCCACGACGAGACTTTTCGGAGAAACGGTTACGCAATCGCAGTGTTCTAAACAAGTTATAAACGGTGATCTCGGAACTCGATGAGTAGTTTGACGAACTCAACCTGCACTAACTCGCCATCCGGGGGTCGCAAACATCACCATGAGCGTTAGAAGCATGTTTCCAAGCTTTTACATCTAAATTTAAAAAGCATACACTTTGAAACTACCATCAACCGCCAAATTATTGCAAAACAAAATGCTCGGTGTCACGGCTGCGCATCAAATCGATAAGTTCTAGGTAGTTTCGGCTGAAGATGCGCAACTTCTTAACAGACTTGGCTCGAGTGCTGCTAACCACGCCATCGCGGTAGTAGAGTCATGTCTGAAACAATCGCATTTTCGAGTCAATCGATCAATCGACCAGCGGGCGTGCACAAAGGAGGCGGCGAATTCACTCAGCCTACTTTATCATTTACTCATGCAGTTCGACACGTGGTAGCACAGGAGCTGCAACTAGAAGCCCCCTCAAACTTCTTCCAAACTTTTCAGCGGACCATACTGAAAAAGAAAACAAAAACGGAATTATTATTCTTTGGATGACGCAATCGACGCCCCAGCAATGGAGTGGTCACTTAACTAAGTGGGCATAATTAGTTCCAGGTTGCCTCCAACACATGATGTTCGGTCATGTGCGGATTCATGGTCTTGCTGGGGTACACATCACCTATTCAGCAGCAGAAACACTGCGTTTACCTTCCAAAACAAGACACAGAGCAAAAAAAAATACGTATTCAAGAGGATGAAACATTTTTTACGATGATCAGAGGATTAATGATTGCTACAAGAATAAAATCATGTTGCTTCAGAAACAAAGAAGTGCGCCAAAGAGATACCACGGGGCACCAGGAATCTTCGCATTGGTTTTGGAGCCATTCCTTAACTCGTGAAACTGGTGTAACGGTGTCAGTATCAAGGAATGCCACTAACGCGTTTGCTATCTGCACCATCTTCATACAGGACACAAAGGGTCACAAACAGAAGATCCAGAAATTGCAAGACCAATCTTTAAGCATTCGATTGGAAGTTAAAGACGAAGAAACGAAATTAATGCGAAACGAGTACTGCCACGAGAGCTCTGTCTAAGTGCATGGTGAAGAAGTCATCAGTGCAGGTACCTTGGCCATCAAGTGGATTGCATACGTTGCATAAACATGAGCAGAAAAAGGAGTGCAATGCGCCCTGACTAGCTGTATTAAACAACGCCACTCGACAGTGAGTTGCCAATGTTGACGAAGAATGAACTGTTGGATTCTTCACTGTCCTACAATGCACAATTTACGCGCTGAATTTGGTAGGCTACTAAAGCTAAGAAAAACAGACTGATGGTCACGCAAAAAGCGATGGAGAGAAAATACGTAAGGCATCCCTCCGGGATCACGTTCTAAACGCAAAAATTCGACAATGGATTGGACTTGCAGAGGTCATTTACTTGACGTTTTCTTCGACGGCAAAAAAGATGGGCCAGTCATATGGCTTCCCTGAAAGACAATCGGAAGACGTTAGGCATTACAGATTGGGTTACGCTTGACCACTATCATCTACTCGTCGAGAACACGACGAAACTTTCTGAGGGTGAAATTACTTGGCCAACAGAGAAGACACAAATCGGTACAGAGAGAACACTGGAGGAGCGCCGATGCATTCACGAAGTATCCATGCCCATAAGGAGGAGAAATTAAATATAGGGGAAGAATGAAAAACAGATTATGCTAAAGAAAACCACATATTTGCTCCGACAGATATTTGGTCTTGATTCGCGCTCCGAAAAGGTAGTACAGAGCTGAATAAATAAATAAACGAAAGCAATAAAAGACGACATTAATCAGTCGTCACCGAACAGCCTATGGCGCCACGAACCATACATCCCACGCTGAACATAGGAAGCAGCCACAGAACCTGACAGCTCACTGCGGTCTTGGCCCTGACGTACTGCGCATTGAAGTTGATAGGGGCAACTAACAGCAACTCGCAGAGTGACAAAGTGTATTCCACCAGCATTAAAAACAAATAATTGAAAGTATGGTAATAAAATGGCAAGCTTTGAGCTGGACAAACAAGAGGAAACACGCCAAATTAATCAAACATAGCAACTACCGCGAAACAACTAGTGAAAGAGATTACCATGGTGAAACCTGATGACTTCTGTTTTTCGCTGATCCAAAATACTGAATATCTATGAATTGATATTCAATCAGAACGGTTAGCATCTGCGTGTGAATGATTATATGAAGTATTCTCAAATTAAATCAGCACCGTCCTGTCCCCTTATTAGGCGGCGGAAACATACCATCAAGCAAAGCAGAAGTCAGTAACACGTTACACAACATACCCAGACAAAGCATTGCTCCTCGTCCAGTTAGTAAACAACTACGCAATGACAAACAGATCATACCGATGCCTTGTCATACTGAAGTTGAAGATCCATGCTGGTGTCTGCTGGATCATTAAAGATCATACGTCCTCGCTTAATCTGGCAAAATGCGTATCAGTGAAACTTACAAATCTACATTACTCCACTATTAAAACATTCAAAGTTGCGCTAACTTAACCATCGTGCAACACCGTGCGTCTGTTCACCGTCCACTAGCCAGCTTGGTCGAAGAGTGACGAAGTCGAACGAAACTTCGTAATAAATTGAGTTGAGTGACGTGTACAACAGACGGGTTTCGCGCAAGGCGACGACTCTCAGCAAAAGTCGAGCGCGTTACGAACTGTAGGTCAGTGACGACGCGTTGTAGTCCGAAGGGCGCTCATGAGGCGAAGGCCTGCCCGAACGTCGTTTCTTCGGCGCTCGCCTCTCAACCTGCCACGCGTTTACAAACCCTGTTGCGGTTCGTTTCACGTACCATGCTTGTACTTGGCTTTGTTTCGTGCTACGTATATTACACTGTTTTTATACTGTTGTGATAAGCGACGCACGGCTACCCTCTGCTGAATGTGGCGTTGTTCGTCTCAACTTTCGAACTGACGTCGAACGCGTCAAAACTTACCTGGTACGAATGTGCAGTTGTCTAAGCAGGCAGCTGTACAAGCACTGTTCCGCCATTCGCGCAAAACAGTTCGCCAGATAAACTGTTGATTCGTTTTCCATCGGGTTGAATCGTTCTCTCCACATTTTGTACGGAAAGCATCCAGACACAAGACGATTTGTCAATGCAGAGAAAAGCAGTGACAGTAAAGAAACAGCCGCAAGCTTGGATTCACATAATAATAGTATTTCAGAAGTCGTTATCTCTTCAGACAATAAGCGGCCTGATGAAAAATCCCAACGCGACTCATTATAATTCTGTACGACTTATGATTTGCAGTTCTTGCAGCCAGATATCTGATCACAGTAACAGATTAAGGGGATAAATGTTCGTTTAATTCATCAGTGAGCTGAACGTATTTGGCTTGTGATGTCCATAGTGTTGGCAGCTGTACAACATTTCTGCTATGAGGCACCAGTTACTGCATCGTAGAAGGAATTACTCCTCTCTGAAAGATGATCCATCTTTACTTGATTCCTTGCATGCTGGTCCATAGGTTGACGTCTGTCCTGTTTCGGCTCTAACACTAAAGTAAATGGTTTATAACCATAATTATCGGGGCTGTACCTAGTACTGACTAGTACCACGGATGATCAGCTATCAGGTGGATCAAGACAAAATGCAGCCACAAGGTCGCTCGCATCGGCAGCATGGCTGTACAATTCGTCCATTTTAGCATGAGCAGGCCAGAATATCATGTTGTCCCTATTTTTCGCAAGTCACCGGACTTGCTGCCTGTTTCTAGACTGGTTGTGCTGAAGGGGGTTATTTCATTGCTCAAGGAAATTCATTGGTAAGACAAAGACTGTCCATTCATCAGATTCGAACCAGACACCTGAAGTTCAATGCGAACCTCTTTGCACTGTGCGCCCACTCCTCGATAGGGGCATGGTACGATTATGAGATGGAACAAATTATTTATACCCAACCAGTTTGTCGAACAGAACCAACCTCCCTTTCTCATCCTTCACATTTACTGAAACCTCCAGTGCGCAGAAAAGAATCATTCCATACGTAGTTTTGCTGTTTAACACTCATGATGCGTCGAGGTCAACTCCAATGTACGCAGTTCAGCCGCAGTTCTGCTTCTTTCTTAGAACAACTGCTTCCTTGTCGTACGATAACGCCACTAGGGCGTAAACTGGCCCCGTAACAACTATGAGACTGTTGGGGAGAGTTAAAGATTTATTCTGACATATCTCCAAAAGAGCGGAAATCTCTTGGAAAAGTATTCGGCTATAAATATAAGACAAGTGATGCTGTTGAAAACAAACAAACGAGCTACTACAGAATTAGCGGG